CTGCTAGTAACTGTAAAGTAGACTATTAGGCTGAAAATCCAGTTTAGAAACCAAATTTTGATATTTTAAAAATAGGTCTGTTTCAGCTCTCAAACCTATATTTTATGTTTTTGTCAATTTGGCAACTCATTTATTGAATGAAAATGTTTTGAAGCACTGATTTTGGTATTTCAAGTACTCCAGGAATGATTTTGAGGAAAAATAATAAAAAATTTGAAATATTGTGACTTTTGTTCATTTTATATATTTAGTTAGCTAATAATACCATAACTGAATTCGGACTTGATAAAATTCATATTTAATGAAATATAGATTTTTCAGGTCATTAATAGGTGATGTGGGTTTTCTTCTTCTTTTAGAATATTTTTCCCAGCACTTAGGAGAGTATGAAAATGTTCTATCTGTCTTGGAAGACTTAAACATAAGCATACTGAAGGCAATGGACAAAACAAAGAAAGTAAGTAAAAACTGTGAAATTTTCCTTATATTGTATATTGTGTTTATTTGAACATGTATCCAATATTTTTTCTTATCTAGATAAAGTTACTAATACCAAAATGCGGGTAAGCATTATCAGCATATCAACATATGGAAGTAGTCTGCATTTGAAAAAAATAATCCAAATTTTGGAAGTAGAAAACATGATAGTAAAAGATGCTAATGACTTAAACTATATTAATGACTACCATTAAATTAGGTAGGCAAGAGTCATCCTGAGACGTACTGGGGAGTTATATTTATGTTATTGTTAAATGTAGATTCCAGGATAGTTTAAAAAGATTAAAAAGGGCTGTAACATCTCTCCCTGTGTTCCGCGAAGCTGAACCCCAGTACTCTCATTATAAAACTATCCTGTAGGTAGTGGCTGTGCATCCCAGGTACTGACTCCCAAAATATAACTGGCCAACGCAAATCGCTTGAAAGTATTCCTGATAGCAACAGCAGAAGACATAGAAATTTGGGCTGAGTGAAACATCCTGACTGAGAACAAGGTTTCATTTCCATTTCAGGCATTTTAAACAAAAGTCACGCTCAGAGAGTCAGCAAAGAGGAGGTGTTAGGGCTGTTGGAGGGAGATGATTCTCAGGAGGAGAAACTCGGTTTCTCCATCCATCCATCTGATGGGAGATGCAGCCATGCTGCAGGACATACTGGTTGGCCAGTCCACTTGGCACTCAATTCATTATGGTCAGACCTGCTGGCATGTTCAGACCTGCTCGTTCATATCACATGCCAACTAGATGTCTGATCAAAAGTGCATCAAGTCATTGGGTAACATGCTCCTTTTCCCTGGCTGAACAAATATTTTGACAAAGTGCAACAGCTTCAAAAGGTGAGGGAAAGCACAAACCAGGGAATGAGGTGAACGTAGATCCTCCAGATGCAATCTCAGATCCGCACCACAAGGCTATTCACTGGTTAGGCAAGCTGTCAACAACAGAAATTTCAGCAAAAGTATTCAGTGAGATGCTGTGGGGGAAAAATAACCTGATCTTTTTGAGTCAGTCAATGGAGAGATCAATGGGGAGAAAGCTGTGCTTCTCTAGCGAAGCTGTTCTATTTGGCATTCAGGTGTTTGCAAGAGTGTGGTACTCATACATTTTACATGAACTGCCAAAATAAAAACCTGAAAGTGTAGCTTATTTATTTAGAGCTTGAGCCAGTAAGCTGAATGTCTCCCCATTCATGCTTTGCACTTTCCACTCCTAATGAAGTGAACGTATGCTGACTCACTGCCTCATTGAGCTGGACACTAAAAAGCAACACATTAGTTTATTCTAGCTATGCATGATTTAGAAAAAAAAATTAGCCATGTGTATAAACTGCTGCTAAAGGGCAGGACATGTCTTCTGATAACTACTGGAAGCAAATAAACCACAGCGTTTAAGAATTACTTCAGAAGTTAATTACAGAGGAGGAGTCCCAGTAGACTAATCAAAGTGGTAAGAAGTAAGCATTGGCCTGACTAGAAAATGGATAAGAAAATCTGGAATATTAATAAGTGTTTCATTTGTCTGCTTGAAGAACCGATCTGAAAAAAATGAAACCACAATTCCTTTGAATTTTATTTTCCTGAAAGTTCAAGCTTAATGGGTTTTCTCTCTTTCAGGAATATCTCAATTGACTGTTAGAGGTGGCAGAACTAGAGCAAGGCTAACACTGGAAATACTACTTTTAATTCCAATTAGTAGACACAGTGTGTGAACACAGTCAAACAGAAATGTGTCCTCAAATATTCTCAAATAGAGATTTCTACCAAGGATATGCCCAGCAACTACAGCTTTGTATGGAAATTAAATTCTCAATTCAAACTTGGGACTATTTGCAACAGGAACTCAGTTCTAAGGAAAGAGATAGGTTATGTGACCTGATTACCTGATAAATCTGCGCTACTGGAGTGCAAATAATAAAATTTCCACCTTAAATAGTCCATGCTTTTACTAAAGTCTAAAATCTGGAATATATTCACCAAAATCAGAGCTGGAGGTGCAGCAAAAGCTAGTTAGAGATAGCATGGATAAACGATGTTCATTGCCAGTGACACACGCTAGATGTGATGTAGCTCCTAGCTCAAGTTGATGCCACAGCTCAAACAAGCAGGGAGTCGGAAATGGGTGGTCTGGTTACGAATGGCCCTTGGCATGTACGCAGAGCAAGGCTTGGGTGTCCCCTCCTAGTGCAAAATAAAACTTTGTCATTGCTCTGCCACTGCAGCCACCTACTCCCTTGAATTGTCACTGAGTAATGGGAGCATTTATTACTGTATTCTAAGCCATCATCTAGTTGGAAAATTCATACATAGAAAAAAAACCCAGAAATTAAGACCTACACTTTGAGAGCTACAAAGACACGGTGTATCTACAGTGGCTGAGTCAGTTTCCAATGGTCAGGACTAAATTTCCAAGGACCAAATTCTCCCATTAAAAACCAAAGTAAAAACTTCTCAGATTGAACCTGAACTCCACTCCGCAGAGCATGGGGCTGATTACAGACCCAGTCCTCAGGGTTGCCGGAAGCTTTCCACCCCCTCTGACTTTTCATGGATTGGAGAAAACTCAGTGCCTCTAACTGTCGGTCTCTGCTAAACTTTCTTGGAGTGCATGGCAGTTCAGGTAGGCAGCTCATTCAGTCTTAAACATCTGGGGGGAAAAAGGAGCAACTTGGGACTTCATTCATTTTATTTATCCTGTTTAGAGTCAGAAAAACAATCACACTCAGTCCTTCCTATAAAAAATCCATGCTTTCCTACCAATTCAAGTTGCCCGCACTCAGTAAGTACTTTGCATGAGAGGCAGCTGCGGATTTCGAGCCCCAGACAAATTGTTCAGCTTCAGTTTCCAAGGAAACCCTGGAGAAGGAAGATGTGTCAGTCTTCAACAAAAAGCTGAACAGCGGATCAACATGTCTGAAAAATCTAAAACTCTAATCAATAAACCCTCCTTATTCCAGATATAAACAGAACTAGAAATTAAAAAAACCCTAAAATGTAGAGTTTAATATACTTTACTTTTTTGGCATACATTAATCTAAGTTTGATAACATCAAAGTGTGTGGCATTATTTGACTTTTGTACATTTAGTACACAAGTGTGCACGAATTAGCTTCTACACATGAAATAGACTTGACTTCATATTGTTTTGGGTTTTTTTAAATTCATCATCAGTTTTGAAAATCACATGCGTTAACAAATAACTTGGGTTTTGTTTACAAATATCCCCAAGCCGTTCAGCCTTTAGTCAGAAAGATTTCCCACCAAGAGCAGCTGGAATTTGGCTGAGCTACAGACTCCTGGATTTAAATCTAGGTTAACAAAATTGTCCCCATCACTCCAAATTATTTCCATCTGTAGATATTTTTAACCCAACAGATTAGCAGATAACTGACTCCTGCAAGGTAATTGCAGCACAATTTCTGTGTACTTTATTGCCCTCTGTAGTCTGAAAGCACAGCTTTCCTGAACCGAGCTTTTCTCCAGTCTTCCAGTCTGGAAGGCTTGTTCCTTGAAGCCTTTTTTCCTGACATCTTTTGTAATAAAAGACAGAAGCATATTTAAATAAAACAATTAGTCTCAACCTTTTTATTACCCAAATAAGCATAACACTTTCAGCAAGCTGCATTTTTATCCCATTCCATAGCTTGCAGTCACATACAAATACAATGAAGAGAAACTTCGCAACTGCAGCATGGAAAATAAAATCTGCCACTGAGTAATGATGTAGGTAGATAAAAATAGACCAGGTTTTTTAAGGTGCTTGACATCTTGGTTCTACTGACTTGTGAATACTGAAAATCAAAAACTTGCAGACTAAAAACCATGTCTTCCTTAAGTTATCAAGCCATAAAATTGTTGATATTTGTCAGCTATTCAGTAAGAACAGGTTTTGCTCAGTTATTTTTATTTCTGGTATTGCTATAGTTTATTGCAAATGTAACCTGCAGGTGGTGGTGAACTATTCTGTACTCAGTAAACTAGCAAAAGTTCATTTAATCACCAAAAATGTCGTTTTCATATGAAATGGAGTTGACAGTATAGAAGTATTCAGGGGTTTAAACATAGGCATCTAGTGATAGTTTAGAAAATGTGGGTTATTCAAGGATGTCCAAGATGTTTGCACAGGCCTGACAAATAGCACAGGGGACCTCTGGGACACCCAGGGGCAAAAGGAGACATCCTTCTCAGGCAGCAGCTGGAAACCAGGTGGGTCTCTATGGCACCAAACTCCACTTAAGGTACTTGAATAGCTCTGAGCTTTCCAAAGGATTTTTCCCAAGGAACTGTCTCTCAGACAAAAAGCTGGCAATGGCTTACACCCATCCGACCGTGCCTTTTATCGAAGTCATAGCACCCATTTGAAGTTCACTTTTTTCCACCAGCTGGAGCGTGCTTGCTCCCCTCTCCTGCCTTCCCTTTTGCCAACAGCATAGGGCCATTTTCCCGCCAGGACTGTTCCCTGTGTGTCCCCACGGGCACCGCCGCTGGTACCCGCACAGTGAAGCCTGGCAGCCTGGGGGGAAGCAGGGACCATTTCAGATTATTTTAACCCCCCTGTTCCCCAGGGCAGTTTGTACTGCAGTGTTGGTGAAAGGCTAACCACGGCTGGCTGGTGGCCAAGTGACTGTGCCAAGAGGGTTCAGCGTGGGACATGCTTCCTCCTCCGCAATTTCAGTGGCTGTTGGCTTGAGTCTCACCTAAATGCATTAGTCTATCATGGAGCTGATGATGGTCTTGATGTACAGAATACCAGTTCTTAACTTGCTGGAGTAACAACTAAAGTTCATACTTTTTGCATTGGCACATCAGCAAAATGGTGGGAACTGGGAATCGCTGAGAGCAACGGAGCCCGGCAGAGATGCTTCCTCGGGGGAGCGGCATCAAGTGCCCATGTAGTGGTTCTTTGTCCTTGCAAATGGAGGCCACCCTGTGAGCTGTCTCAAAAGTGACCACCATACATGTTG